CTATATGTCACCAGATTACACGTCTATTTGACTAATAATTGTCTGTAGAGTGCAGTGGGTTGTGGAAAAATCACTCTTCAATTCAAAGTTAAATTTGAATCTGGTATTAAGTCACAATCTCTAGTTATGAATCACTTTTGAGTTGTAAATGGGCACAAGGAATGGCTTTCACAGCATTGATATTGTTTGCATCTGTGGTCATTTTTAATAAAGATATCGTTTTAATAGACAGATAAACAGTTATTTGGGTTTATTTCTAGGACAACCTCGTTAGGACCAAAATGGACTTGTATATTCCAGCTGGTGAAAACTCTGGAAACACAGAAGATGTGTTTTTTGTTACCGTGGAGACAGTGATGAACCAGCATCACAGAATGAAGCTATTAAGTTATGAGAGAGTGTCAAGCTATAGCCAGTACGACAATTGTGCTGATGATGGCGTCAGTACCAAACTTTGCATCTGCTCATTAAAACAACCACGCCAGCCAGTGAAACTGAACCAATCACCTGCCTGGGATAGGATGCCACCTGTACTTAGCACTGAAAATGCAGTCAAAAACATTCACAATAATTGTGTTTATTTAATAGAAAGACAGAATAAAGCAGGAAGCGTGCTGGAAATGGCTAATGTCTGCAAGGAGAATAAATACAATGTGACGATAAATATAGATTATGCACATATGATTGCGTCCCATGATTTACCAATACAATCAGATCTTTTACCTGGACAGTGCAAGTTCATAGTGGCTCTGGTTCAGACTAAAACTCATCACAACTGGGAGTACAGTTATCATGTTTCATTTTCTTGGGAAGAGGTTTGAAACAAAATTCATAAATAATTGATCAAAATGTAAGTTTTGGTGAAACACGCTGGTCCAACTCCTAGATTCAAGGATACAAATACTGGTACTATAAATATATCAGGTAGTTTATATTAAATATATCAGGTAGTTTATATATACAGTACCGGTAATAAAATATTTATTAAAGCAATAACTCCCTGTCAAATTCAGCTGTATTATGAGATATTGCAACGTGGGTGGCAACATGTTATCCAACGTTTCATAGTGTATATGATTTTTATTTTTATGTTTTGTTTCATTGTGGAGACTATATATGATGCAATTAAAATAAATCCATTTTTAAGAATTATCAGTTGACTAACAGGTATGGAGCATTTGGTAACAGTCACGATGCTTGCTGAAGCAAATTAGTGCAGACTTTGAAAAATACAACCCATGGATAACCGAAAAATGCAATTCATCTTTCCATGGATATGTATACTTTGTTGAGTAAACATTTTGCACCAATCAGATTTACTCTGCATACTCAAATACATGATTTGCTCTGCTCTACTAAAAATAATACTGGAACAAACATTTTTGGCTTTTACGGTGTGCATTAGTATGTGCTTCTGGTTTTTAAAAAAATTTCCAGCAGTATATAAGCTTGGTTCTGAGAAAAAAAATTGGTATATTTTGTGGACCATTTAGGCAATAAATGTTTATATTCTACCTACTTACTTTTTTTTAAGAATGATTTGTAATAAAAAAATATTATTATGAACATACATTTGTATTTATTTCACTTGATGCATTTACGTACACATTCTTTTCAGCTATCAGCACCTATTTTTTTTGGCCGTTTTCTTTCATTTTTAACAATACTTTGGCAGAAACTAGAAAAGTTTTGAGCTGGTGCGCACTGGCCCGAATTGGATCTATTTTTAGCCTTGGCCAGTTCTAGTTCTGGCCAATAAAATCAGCACCAGTATAAAAATTCTAGTGGGAAGTGTCACTGACTAGAAATAAAATTGTAACAATGCTAAAAAACCCATCTAATTAGTACTTTGGTGTGGTAAGTCATTCCTAAGAAGTGAGCTTGAACAAAAAGAAATTAATTTTGAAAATGTATTCTAGATTTATGAGATATTTTAATACCACTGGTAAATTTTCATGCCTCTAGTCTATAGTTGCTTCTGCCCTCCTAGCATCTTCCAGCAAATTATAGATCTTAATACTCGGCACAACAAACCCATTCACTTCATTTTTATGGATATTTATAAATTTCTAGGAATGGAAGAACATTTTTAAATGAATTTGTGTAAAAAGGATGATGAAACAAATAAAAATTAATGAAGAAATGGATATTTGATGTTGAAATTAAATTTTCTACAAAAAATAGATTTGCCATTCATATTCAGGTAGAAAGCATTTAGTCTGAAATATTTAAAAAACATTATTTTTTCATGGAACTATATATATAACTGTACATACAGTAAATGCCAACGTGTTTAATTAAAAAAAACGTCTCGAAAACCCCAACTCATCCTGCTAACTTTTGCTGAACTCAGATGACCCTATGAAAACAATATGACCTCTGACCTCCAAGTCATGCAAATTTGTATCTTGAATAGCGACTTGAAGTGGGTGTGTGTACAATTTGTGAAAATCGGCATTAAAAATGACCGCTGAGAAAGATCGCCTCGCCGAAGACAAGTCACGGCATTTGAATTGGAAACGTTGGGGACCGTTTCTATCAGAGAGACAGTGGGGAACTGTTCGAGAAGATTATAGTGCAGACGGCAGTTGGTAGGTACGGTTCGGCGGAATTCACCGTTCAA